CACATATCTCAGGAACAAAGACTACGCTAGAATACCTTTAGATTTATTGGTCAGAGTATAAAGTCATAACTGGAAGCACTCACATCCAAGTCAAAACACCTTGAAAAATGGGGACATACCCGTTTTTTCAGATATTCATACGGGGTTAGGAAAGGTTTGGAGAACTTTTTTTCCTGGAATAAAAATTTAAAACTGCATTTTGTATGTTTTTTTTTAAACATTTGTTTAATGATTTGAAACGTGTGCAAAAAAACTACAAAATTGGGAAGGAGCCAAATGCGTTTTTCACAGCACTGTGTGTACATTGGTTTAAATATTTTTTCAACTAGTGTTATCAAAAACAGCAAGAGCTGCAATTATAAATTTGAATAAAGAAGATAGCTGCCAGGGTGCATACCTGCTGTGAATGTAAGTGCAAACTTATGACCTTAATCTTGGAACTGTAGTATGAGAATGTTTCGAATGTCATACTGTTTGTGGGGTTTTGTTTTTTTTTTTCATGTTAACCCGGTTTTCTCGAAGCAGCAAGTGACTGACAATGGAGCACGAACAATCTACATCAGGAACATCTCACCAGGCGAGTCCCGGGATCTCAGAGAAGCTTTGAAAAAAATGGATTTTATAAGAAACTACCTGCCTCTTCTCAACAAGGTATAAACACTCATAAATGCCAACAAGTGCATGTGTTAGAAGTTTGTGAAAGGCCGAATGAGATATGTGCTTGTGTAAGTGTATTCTTAACCATACAGAAAAATTGACAGATTAACTGCTTACACACCAAACTAAATGACATGCACCAACCCTCATAAATCCATCCTTAAAAAGAGATAATGTGTCTGGATTTGGATGCTACTTATCTTGAGGAAAGCACAACCGCAAAACTATAGAGATGGTAAAGACAGATTGCTGTGAAGCACTAGTGTTCATCACATTAGAGCATTACTGCAAAAGTACAGGGGTCACGTTGAGCTCCAGTGCATCATTGGACCAGGATTTCTGACTTTTGAATCCAGTGAACTCCACAATAAAGCTGTGCTTAGTTCACTCTTTCCACGTGTGCTTAGCACTTATTTTTAACATTTAGAAGGTAAAATTAAAATGTTCAGAATAAATTTTCTTTCTTGTGTTTCAGGTGTTTATCGAATTTCAGTCTCTTCGTGATGCGGATCGCCTTGGCGTTTGGTACAGCCTTCTAAAACGGGCCACTGGCCACAAATTGTCAAGGCTGAAAATACCACAGTGTGGATGTACCTCACTGCGTAAGTGTTTTTTAAATGGGATTTTAAACAAAGATGATTTAAATGAATAAAAAAGATGGGTTAAGTTAATGGAAGGTCATCTGGTAAGACCTTTCTTTCGCTTTCTGTTTGTGAAAACACTGAATATATGTCTGTGAAGGTTCTCAGTCATCCAGGTCATCGTAGTCAAAGGAGCTTGCAAAGAAAAGCGTCTGGACTTCTTTAAGTTGCTTGAAGATGTTTCACCTCTCATCCGAGAAGCTTCTTCAGTTCTAAGGTCAAATTGTCAGTTCTCCCAGACTGTGGATAAGTGAAGAAAAACTCCTGCTTTATTGTTGTGTCACAATGATTTATTGTGGACATTCCCTCAACTTTTATTCACTAACACTGTGATTCTCCTTCCCACAAATCCTTTGATGTATCTCTCTGACCTCTTTTCTGGCCCCTCCAGAAATCTTTGCTCCATCAGTGGTCAATTTCCTTCTGCTTGTCTCTGCCCCAGACACATGAACCAGAGCCATTACTTAAACTGCACTTTTTCAGTCTGGCATTTGATCTAACCCACTAATCATTGTTTTCCTGATGTCTATGATACCTTGGGTATCTGTAAAGGTGCTTAAAGTTAAAATAAAAGTCAAAACATTGATATTACTGGATCATTGTAAACATTAAAAACCAGTTTTGCACCACTCATTTTTCCTTTTCTTTCCCCCACAAAACTTTTAACAAAACTTATTTTTGCTTGTGCAGCACCAAGATTGCCAGACAAAGCTTTGCCAGACAGCGAGTTGCTGTTGACGGGGCAGCTGTCCCAACAGAAGATATGATCATCCCACAACGCAGCACTTCACCATATTGGATCACAATGACAACTAATCCCTTTGTGTTCCCCACTGTCGCTCCTTGGTTCACAATCCCAGGTGAGAGAAACTAAAATTAACCTCCAGATATAAAGTGTTGACTGTTACTAACTGTGTGTGTTTTACACTTCTAGAGTATTTAACTGTCAGGGAACCTGATGACATTGAGGTGAGTGCATTTTATAAACCAAGGTTTCATGTGTTAAACAGGAATCCTTGAGTAAATACCAAGAGGCGTCCATTTTTCCAAATACCGACCTCAAAAGCCACATTTCTCTTTTTCTGCTAAACTTGGTTTCATTTTGTCTTCTCTATGTGGTCAGTTATAGTAATATATTTTTTTAAAAAGTGCTGCAAAGTTTCTCTTCACATAAACTTTGGTTCTTGAACCTTGTGTCTTGTAGAAAGCCCAATCTCAAGGTTCTACGTTCTCCACGATCATGTTGACCGGTTTGCCAGAAGGAAACTACAGACAGGAGGATGTTGCCAAGCTGGTGTGGCGTTACGTCCCTGATCAGACTGTTCAGACTCTGTACTACAAAATAATCGTTTTATCACTGCAGAGGAGGGTGAGGAGTAGACCCAGCAGGCTGATACAGAGAAATTTGCATTTGCAAATTGAATTCAATTTAATGATTAATATTGAATGTTTCCTCTGCGTCATTTTTCCCCTTTCTTCCTCTCCAGGCCTTTGTGTTTTTTAACAGCTGGGATGCGTGCTGCGATTTCGCCAGAGATTACCTCAAAGATCCAGTTACAGTTGGAGAGTGGATGCTCAGAATCCACATTGTTTTACAAGACATGCTTCCTGGTACAAGTGAGGTATGAAAATGGAGCAATCGGGGGCTGTTAAATCAGGGGCATGCTCCTGTTTCACTCAAACTATTCAGATCCCAATCAAAACAGATTTCTCCTCTAAGGAGTGAGCACAGCATCATCCTTCTCTGGGCTAATATTAATAGAATGAGAATACTTTATTGATCCCTAGGGGAAACATATTGGTTACAGTACAAACAGTAACAAAGACAGATACAAGAAGTAAGGAATAGCACAATATATACATACATATAAGTCACTTATTGATAAATATCTGAATAAGAAATGGAAAAACTAAAAATATGCATGAATTTCAAATCAACTATTTATTGTTACTTTGTCTGTATTTGTTCCTTTTTGCAACAGCAGCACAAAAGCTGCATGAACTTTATCCACTTTTCTGTTCATAGACGACAGCCCACGTCATTCCGCCACCACTTTAAAGTTTCCACAGAGCTTCTTGTGAAGTCAGTCCTGTGTAAACGTTAAAGACCCAGACATAGGTTATGGAGTGTTTCACTGACTATTAAGCAATGCCCTCACTTATTTTGAAACTTCAGTTGCTGCTAACCTTCTAGCTTCAGCGTTTCCCATCTCAAGGTTCCTTGCGGGCTAGCTATTCAGGCCCTTTGTGAGATGTCTCTCCACAGCTACATGTTAAGAGGAATTGAGGTCTGACGACTGTTGCGGAAAGTCACTGAGACTCAAAAAGCATCAAATAGTTCCTGCAGAACTTTGGTTATATATTATGTCGTTACTGTCCTGAAGTATGAATCCTTTGCCACAAAGATGCAAACCAGGATCGAGTCACTTCTCACTTACAGTGGAGTCCAATATTTATCTTATTAAATGTGGTCAATAGAACATTAAAAACACTCTAAGCAGGAGGAGAGTTATTCAGTATTTATTGTACAAACAGAGGATCAGTGATTGATGTAATCCCCTTTCATCTTCTACTCTTTTCACAGGAGAGCATGTATAGAAGCATGATGAAATGGAGCACCACTGTAAGTCAGCAGTCACATAAATCTGTCTTGTAAAAGCAGCAGGCTCGGGTCTCCCTGATCTTAACGCTGGTTGTTTTTCAGCATGTTCCAGAGTCGGAGTCTCTGGAGGACCGGCTGCTGAGTGTGGAGGTCTCCGAGGTGAATGTGGACCTTGTCATGATGATCATGGAAGTGGTGGCGTCCATTGCTGCTTTTGTCAGATTCTTGCCGCTTGCCAACAGGGTACGATTTCATAAACACGTGCAACTTTTTTATGTTTTACAGAAGGCTGCAAGGCTTGTCATGGTGTCTGCTGTTCTTTTCATATTGAGAAACATTTGAAATGAGTCTGAAGGAGACTTTGTGTTTTTTTAACACTAGTTGAGCAAGTTTAAATATTCCATGTACAGACAGTCCCTGCGGCAGGCAATCTGAATTTGACATGCCTTTGCAAACACTGGTGAAGAAGGACTGCCTGAAATGCACCAAGTTCTCAACCAAGTTAATCTTATGACCTGTTCAGCCTTTCGTCCTGGCCCATCTAGCAGGGAAGATGCCTGCAGTTTGAGGCAGCACTAAGTTATTCTTTTAGTGTTTCTTGCTCAGTGGTTTTATTCTTTAATCAAAAACTTTGCAAAAGTATAGAAATGTGTTTGCACTTATTTTCCATTTGCAGTTTTAAAACACCAAGATTTTTTTTCTTTGCCTTGTACTATCGTAGAGGGCAGTAAAGAAACTCGCCAGGACCTCTGTCCTGTTACTTTCACAAATTGGGCCTGTAGCGCACCCTTTGAGTACCACTGTGTTGCTCAAATATCCTCAGGAAGAAAACAATTGTACTGTCACTGATGTAATATCTTTCTGTTTTCTCAGATATGCATTGAGATGGCTGAACCTGGTGGATTAACACAGGTGATGGAGAGCAATGTCACCAAGGACTATTTATCTTCTTGGTAAGTGTGTCCCACAATCAGAAGTGAGACAAAGAGGAAATTGATTTTAGATTGTGTGTTTTTTTCTTTAAAGTGTCTTCATGCTTGTCTGACCTTGTGCTTTTTTCTCTCCTCTTCATAGGAGTAAAGTCGGACGTATTGAGTCGTGAGTGTCTTTCATTTTCAGGTTTAGTGGCAGAGTCAAAACAGTCATGATGACTGCTGCACTCCTCAAGGTTGTGCTATAGTAAACAGTTCCCAAAGATGCAAAAAGAGAAGAGTGTGATTTAGACATAAGCAACTCTAGATTAGAAATTTGAAATGGAATTTCTTATTTCACATTAACATTTTGTGACAACAAACTTCTTTTCATAGTAACCTACTGGCATCTTTGCTTTTAAATTCAGTTTGAAGAGTCTGAAACAGCGTCTGCAAGACTCGGGTGAGAACACACTTAACCTCGAACTGGAAACAGAGAAGGCCGCAGAATCGACCGCTGTCCCGCAGCCAAGTGAGGAAGGCCAGAAAGCAGCAGTGAAGGAAGAGGGGCCACCACAAACTTTGGTCACTACTCCTGATGCAAACGCCGCCCCCGCCGCTTCTAGCGCTGCTCCTTCAGCAACAAGCCCAGTCAAGTCTGAGGAAAAAGACTCAAAACTTCCTCACATCAACGAGGACGTTTTCATGGCCATTACAGCGGCGCTTCGTGAGCATAGAGAGAGTCGAGAAAGTAGGGCACAGAGCAAGGACAGAGAGGTAACACTTTAAATTTCACTGTGTTGTCCCAAAATATCTTAAGACACTAAAAGCCTTATGTTGGAGATTACATGTGAGCATTGTATAGTAGTACACTGTCGATTGTTGCGGTAAAGCTGCAGGCTGTATGAATAACTAATGAGCGAATTATACAGTTTTTAGATTTGCATTATTTCTGGAACTGATAAATTAAAGCGAAGGTCATCACTTACATATAGTCTTATTTATTTTTTGTAAGCTTGTGCATGTCCAGTCTTAGCGTCACCACTCACTAAACACCTTTTAGGCTATATTTTAGGGTCTTGTCAAAACCAGCACAGAATAAACGCAAAATACATTCAGGTTTAATCTTTTTTTCTTATCTTATCTTCTATTTCCAGAGCAAAATCAGCAGCCCTAGTAGGGCACAGGATGAAGACGCACCAAACAGAAAGGTAAACGTTCATCAGACCCACGAGGATTTTTCCCCTTGTGTGGCTAAATATGAAGATGTTTGGTGTCTTGTTTTGTTGTTGGTTGTGGGCGGGTGTTGGAAAACACTTAATTACACTGACAAAATTCAATGCTGTTTTTTCAGTGTAGATTGTCTTTCACTGCCTATTCTTACATGGCCTCTTAACCATTATTGTTGTTAAATTAAAATGTGATGCTTTTCTAAGGTGTTATAGTTTTATATATAAATGCTACAAAATGGCCATTTCTGAGGGGCATAATTTGTTTACTGACATCCTGATCATATAGGAGGATACATTTGGTATATTATAGTTTTCTACATACAAGGAACCATATACAATGTCAGTAAGGTTATATTTGTGATAGTTACGCTCTGATTATAGTGTAAGCTGTTTCATGGCTCCACAGACTGTTTTTGGTTTTTCCATCTAGGTTCAAGTTGATAATTTAGAGAAGAAAGTTTCTTCAGAGAGCCGCCCTTTTGGTGAGCCGGATTTCAATGTAGACGACTTTGTCACTGTTGATGAAATTAACGATGATGCAGCAGACGCAGACCCCAATGGTGAAAGCGACTCTTCAACTAAGTCCACAAAGAATAAAGAAAGTCAAAGCTCAGCTGCATCTCCTGCTTCCAAACGAACCTCAGCAGGGTCCTCCAAAGACTCCAGCAGCTCAGCCTCTCCCTCATCCAAGCCCACGAAATTTTCTGAGAAAAGCAGTTCAACCTCCTCACTACGAAAAAGTAAAGACTCATTTGACTCCACCAAACCCGAATCCTCTGTGAGTGTCAGTAAGCCTGTTTCCTTTTCTGGTGAGAAAACGCAGCCAAGCAAACCTCCAGACAAATTGTCGCATTCTTCGTCCTCGGGTTATAGGACCCGTTCATCAAAAATGGCATCAACCACTGCTGCAGAGCTAACAGAGGAGAGTGCAGCAACAAAGTCTGACCTCAAAGTGTCAGCAAAGGAAAATCAAACTAAAGTGGAAACATCATCAGAGACACAGCCACCTGCAGAGGGAGCGGGATTAGGGATGAAGAGCCAAACACAAACTCTGGAGACTGAATGTAAGGATGACGCACACAAAGAGTCAAAGAAAAGCAAAGGAGATGGGGAAAAAGACAATGTGGGGAAATATCCACAGGAGGAGGAGGATGATGGTGAAAGTTACCAGATCCTTGATTCGATCGACGAGCTAACAGATGAACAAATAGATGAAGACTCAAACCAAGAGACTAAAACAGAGTCATCAGGGCCTGAGCAAACCCAGAGTTTGCATGAGGGGGAAAGTCAGGTCTTGAACAGCATTGATGATAAAGGCTCAGAGGAGTCCAGTAAAACAGAAACGGATGCTCCTCTCTATGTGATAGACAACGTTAGTGAAGACCAAGCCAGTACAGTCCAAGCGGATAGTCATCTGGTCAAAGATGAAGGTACCACAGCAAAGCAGCTGTCTGAGGAAAAGATTCAAGAACCAGATGCAGCTGATAAAAAAGAAGGGTTGGATCCAAGCATGAACCAAACTCCAAGGTCCAGTGGAGATGGAAAAGAAATGAATGAGGAGATGCTCTCAGAAAAATCAAGCAAAGCTTCCAAAGCATTTTGCCAAACTCCAAATAATGAAGAACAAGAAAACAAAGGCAGTTCAGCAGATGTTACTAAACAGAAAGCCTCTGAGAAGTTAGATTCAGTCAATGATTACACCAGAGGAGAAGATGACGAGAAGAAACGTAATACTTCGAAAGCAGTCACTGAAGGAACTGAAGAAGAGGAAGAAGCTTACCAGGTAATTGATTCTGTGGAAGAAGAGCCACTGACCACAGAGACCGAGGCAGAGGCTGAGAACAAGGAGGAAAAAACCAAGAAAGACGTTGAAGTGGCTAAACGAGCTGAAAGACCAACAAGGAGGGGTAGACCGAGAACAAGAACATCTAAAAGAGAGGAGAAAGAGACACAGGAGGAGATGATCTTTGAGGTAGTGGATTCTGTTGAAGATGAATTTGTTCAAGATGTCTCCACCACAGAGAGGCCTGGTAGAAGGAGGTCGGCCAGAGGAAACAAAGAAGATAAAAAGACGCCAACTTCCACAGTTGCATGTATAAAAACCGTCAGGGAAGAGGAATCTACGTCTGAGATCCTAGACTCAGTGGAGGGTAAGGCTGCCATGAACGAACCAACCATCACAACAAGGTCAACCAGAGGAAGAAGAGAAACTAAAGAAGACGTCTCAAAAAAAGACAAGACACCAACGAGAAGGAGGCCGACACCTGCCAGAGATTCTCAGGAACCAAACAAGGAGGAACCTCAGCAAGTGAAAGAGAGCACACCAACAAAGAAGAGCGAGGGGAATGCCACCTTTACAATAGTAAACCCAGTGCAGGATGAAGTTATTAAGGATGAACGGGCCAAAACTCCGGAAAAAAGAAGAAGGGGAAGACCAAAGAAGGACACTAAAGTAACTAAAAAACAAGCTGCCATGAAGAATGCGGCATCTAGTAAAGTGGCTGATGAGGAGGAGGCCATTTATCAGATTGTTGACTCGGTTGAGGATGAGACGGCTGACAATGAGCCTTTGAAAGACCAGAATACAGAAGAGCCAACAGTGCCTAAAGACGATAAAGACTCAGCATCGCCAAAGAATGCAGATGATGAGGAGGTGGTCGATAAAGAGGAGTGTTTGGATCACACTGCTGAGGTTAGTGATGCTCTATCTGCTGAAGACGAGTCTGGTACAGCAACGAAGGAAGAGAAGCCAAAAACAAATACTAAAGAGGCCACTGGGTCCCAAAGTGAGGCTGCTGCACCAGAAGAAAAAACAAATCTGGAGGAAGACACCCTGGAGCTGGTCACTCTGGATGAGGTGGGAGCAGATGATGCTGGGGAGGAAAGAGCAGTGGAGGGTCAGGACTGGAGCAGGGAGATCACCAAGGGAGAACCTGCAGAGCTCATCACTCTGGATGAGATTGTTGAAGAAGAAGAAGAGGAGGAGGGGGAAAAGGCAGAGGAAAGCACAGTGGAGCCCCGCCCACCAACACAGGAGAGCCAATCGGTGGAGGCCGCAGACATAGAGGTAATGTTGAGATTCATTTGAGCATCTTTGTTTCCTCTTTAGTAAAAACAGAAAACTCGATGGTCGTGACTTCGTGTCTTTGTTTTTAGACTTTTGCGACAGCAGCTGAGGTAGAAGAGGAAGCAGAGAAGACATCAGGATCTGCTAAACGCAAACATGATGAAACGGGTCAGTTTCATTCTCCATCCATCCATTTTTTTAACTGCTTGTTCGAGTTCGGGTCGTGGGGGCAGTC